CTTTTCGGTAAAAATTGAAGAACTGCATTTTGAAATTCTCGAGGACTTGGATCTAGCGGATTCCTATCAGCCAGGAACATATTCACAATTAAAAACAGACTACTATACCATTATTAATGGACTCGACGACAAACATGAACAGATGCAGAAAGCACTGACAAATAGAGGGAATATTAAGCTACCAAAGGTCACGATCCCGACTTTTGAAGGTGGGTTCCAGAACTGGGCCCAGTTCCATGACTTATTTTTACGAGTCATCCACGAAAATAATACTCTATCCAATGTGGAGAAACTACAATTGCTGAAGCAGCATACCAAGGGTGAAGCTGCCAAACTGATGCAACATCTATCACTCACAGCCGACAATTAGGCAAGTGCTTGGGACATTCTAAAGGAAAGATACAACAACAAGCGGTTGATTTTGTCAAAACTCATCGACAGAATTTTGGACCAAACAAGTTGCAGCGTAGAGTCCGCTGTACAGCTTCGTCAGCTACACGACACCACAAACGAGTGTCTCCTAGCAATTAAGAACCTGGGATTCAATGCAGAAGAATGGGGCCCAGCAATTATCGAGCGCATAATTGCAAGAAAATGGGACAAAGAAACAAACAGAATATTCGAGCAAGGGTTAGATGATCCCCAGGCCATTCAACCTCTAGAAGAAACATTCAGCTTCTTAGAAAAGCGATTCCAATCGTTGGAAGGAATTGCCACTACGAGAACAACTGGAACAGCGCATAACTATCAACAATCAAGGCATGGCTGTCCAATTTGTCAAGGGCAACACTACATCGGCCAGTGCCAAATCTTCAACAACAAAACACCAAGCGAGCGAGGGCAGGTGGTAAAAACCAAAAACAAAGGTAAGGTATGAATTGCCTAAAACATCCAAGCAACACGGCCTGCAATGATCCTCGCAGATGTCAAGTCTGCAATAATACGCACCACACACTATTACACGTAGAGAGGCAAGCATACCAGAGGAATAATAATTACAAACAACAGAATCAAGGGGGAAATAAGAATTGGAAAAAGCAGACCTATGCCGCCGAGGAAGAAACAAACGACGGACTTCTGCCTACCGCAATGGTCAACGCAAGACAGGCAAACGGCAGCTCACAATATATTATTGTGTTTTTAGATGATTTTTCTAGATTTGCTAAAATATATGTTGCAGAAATAAAGCAGCTAATTGTTTAGAAAGTTTCATAACAACAGTTAGAGAGATTTAATAAAACATTACAACAAAAAATTAGAGCGTTATTGTTTGACTCTGGCCTACCTAAGTCAATGTGGATCTTGGCAGCTGAAAGCTGTTAATATGTACAATCGTACACCGCACAAAACCAATGGTTTCGTATCTCAATTAAACAAACTCAATGCAAGAATTAGCACACATATCTACAAAATTAGATGGTTTGGTTGTTTAGCTTATGTAAAACTTCCAATATCAGAAAATAAGTTTTCTGAAAGAGCCATACGAGCCATACTGGTAGGTTACTCACGTACCGGATATGTATTGTGGGAGCCAACCTCTGGCACATTTCTAACTTCAAGACATGTCCGGTTTAATGAAAAATTAGTTTATAAGGATGTATACAAAACGGAGGATTTAGAAGTTGAAGTTTCTCCATCAATTAAAATAGATGAAAATTCAATTGATGGGAGAATAGATTCTGAATCATCGGATGTATATACTCCAGACTCGGATGAAAAACTAGTTAATTCTGATAAGTCCAGAAAACGTAAACGAGATAAAAACATATCAAATGATACCGAATCTAAGAAGTTGAAAATTTCAAAGAGAAAACCAAAACCGAAAATAGATGAGAATTTTGTTTATGCCAAAACAGCAGAAAAGTTCAAGATCATAGATGAAGAAGAATTCATTCATGCTATGCTTGCCTCAGTAAACAAAGATCCATGTAATTACAAAGAATGTTTGCTACGTGAGGATAGTGCTGAGTGGATTAATGCAATTAAAGAAGAATTCAAATCAATAGAGGATAATCAAGTATACGAATTAGTGGATAGACTTGTAGATGTTAATGTATTGGATTCTAGATGGGTTCTTAAAACAAAATTGGCAAAACTGATGAAACCATTTATAAAGCTAGAGTGGTTGTAAGAGGTTTTCTAGATGAAAATGAGTATGAGTTGAAAGAAACTTATGCCCCAGTGTCAAGACAGTTATTAGATCTGCACTAGCAATCATAAATAAACTTGATTTAGATGAAAGACAAATGGATGTAAAAACTGTTTTTCTGTACGGTACTTTAGAAAAAGCAATTTTTATGAAAATCCCAGAAGGCTATGATTATAGTGGTGAAATTAGAAGAACCAAGGTCTGGAAGCTTAAGAAATCTTTATATGGATTGAAGATAAGTCCTAAAAGTTGGAATAAGAGGTTTACAGAAGAAGCATTGAAAATAGGTTTAGAGAATGACTTAAATGAACCATGCTTATTCACCTGGAGAACAGATGGAAAATTTGCCATTTAATTTTATATGTGGGTGATATTATTGCAGCTAGCAATGACCCAGAAAAACGAGATGAAATTATAGATCATTTCAGCAAAGTTTGAAATAAAAATCTTGGGAGAACCAGAGAATTTTCTCGGAATGAAAACCTATGATAACTAGACAAGTCAAAAACAGAAATAACAAAAACAAAGAAAAACTAGATGATTCCAATGATATAACCAATGCCCCTTATAGGGAGGCTATTGGGAGTTTGTTGTATCTTGCTGGTGCAACCAGACCAGATATAATATAGCATATGCTGTAAATTTGTTGTCTAGAAGACAAAATAATCCAACTAAAGGAGATTGGACAGAAGTCAAAAGAATTTTCCAATACCTTAGACTCTAAGGTTTAGAGGAACCACTGACTTGGGTTTGTACTATAGAGGTAAAACCGAAGTTATGGAAGCTTGGACTGATTCTAGCTTCCGAGATCGTGAAAAGTCGACTTCAACAAGTGGTTACATAATCCAACTTTATGGTTATACAGTAGCATGGAGAAGCCACAAACAATCCTCTCCGGCTACATCAACATGTCAAGCTGAATATCTTGCCATGAGCGAAGCTTGTAAGGAAATAATTTCCTTGTATAAAGCGATTAGAGATATAATTGGTAGAACTATGTATCCAGTCACTATTAGATGTGATAATAAATCAGCTTGTGACTGTACTCAAATGGAAGGAAGTCACAAATTAAATGATTTTGACATTTTAACTTGGAAGAAAGTTACCTTCTACATTGCATATTAAGTTGAGAAATAAAATAATGAATATTTAGATTATAAAATTTTAAATGTCATAGATGTTAAATATATGTCAAATAGAATATTTTATTTGATGTATGAAATCATATGATAATTGCTCGTCCTTTTGCAGAAGCTAATAACCGGTCCTAGCAGTATGCGCAATGGAAAGAACAGAGGAATTCAGGGACCAAACTTTTATCTTAATCTTGCTTTTATATTTGTTCATTTGATTGTTGTTGCTCTTCATTTTCGGTTCTAAAACGAGTAAAAAATTACCAAAGAAATTCTTTGACGCAAGAGTGAAATCATAATTTTCAAAACATGGTAACGAAAAGCAATTTAATAAATTTATTATTTTTAATAATTTTATCGCTTTTAATTTTTAATATTAGAGTTCAAGTACATGGAAGACGAGTGTAACCATCCCAATCTTCAAAAAAGGTAGAAAAGACCTTCCCGCTAACTACAGGGGAATAACGATTCTCAACAATGTCATGAAACTGTTTACCCGCATCCTGGCCAAAAAAATCTCAGACCTTATTAACATCAACGAGGCACAACAAGGTTACAAATTATGGAAAAAGCTAGAGAATATAACAAACCTGCATATATATGTTTTATAGACATGACACAGGCCTTTGATAGGGTACAACTCACCGATGTAACGGCAGCGCTGCAAGCGAAAGGCATTGGAGAACCACTACTGTCACTGATACAAACATTAAATACCAACAACTCCACAAAAATTAAAATGAACAATAACAAATTATCAAAGCCATTTGACACAAACACCGGCATAAGACAGGGAGACAGTCTCAGTCCGCTTCTTTTTAACACCGTAATGGACCAAATAGTCGATGAAATCACATGCATGAACGAAGGCTACAGAATGGGTACGCATAAGATCAACTGTATATGCTACGCGGATGACGCCACTTTAATAGCGAGCTCGGAAGATGAACTTCAAAAGCTTGTGTACCGATTCGAACAAAAGTCAAAACAACTCAACATGAAAATATCAAGCAGTAAAACCAAATGTATGACTGCTAGCAAACACCCAATCAGGTGCAAAATTGTGGTAGAAGGTAGCCCGATTGAACAAGTAATGAGTTTTGTTTATCTGGGCACAAAAATTTCAAGCTGGGGAAATTTGCATGATGAGGTCCACTATCAAGCCATGAAAGCAGCACGTATCTCCGGCTGCATGCGCACCGCAATATGGAAGAGCACAGTCATAGACACTAAAACAAAGACGCACATATATAAAACCTGCGTCAGACCGGTGCTCACATATGCCGCCGAAACCAGAGCAGACACCACCACTACAAAATGCATGTTAAGGACAACTGAAATGCAAACACTGAGATCAATTACAGGATACACACGGCTTGATAAAATAAGAAGCGAGGCCATACGAGAAAAATGTCAGATACAGGATGTAGTAAGATGGGCAAGAAATAGACGGAGACTATGGAACGACCACGTTGGAAGAATGGCCGACAACAGACTAGCAAAAATCGTAACAGTAACACTACCACCCGGAAAGAGAGGATTAGGCCGACCAAACAAAAGGTGGCGAGATAGTTGGACATCATTATCCCAGGAAAAAAGCCAGTAGAATACAAGCTCAAGCTTAAATTAAGAAGAAGAAGAAGAGTTCAAGTAGAATTTATAATCACTTATTTCCATTTTTGGATTTAAATTTTTAATTTTATATCATGTAGGGTTACTTTTTTATATTTAGTATTTATTTTATTAGCATGATCATTAAATTCACATATCTCCATTTTTAGATTTAATGCCGTGTTGTGTTTCGGATTATTATTTTCTTCAACATGTTTCGGAAACGCGGCATGGGATTCAAGTTTGTATTTTTGACTTTTTTTTTTTGCGGAATCGCAATCGCGTATGGTTAATAGCGACTTTCAAAGCACAGCAGCGTCACTCAAAAAATCGTTTTATACCCTTTAACATAGGGTGCATGCCAATATTGCGTTTAGTTTCGCTTTCTTATGGATATAAGGTTTTTCGCTTCCCTTCACAAACGGCACAACAATTGTGACTCTGAGTATCGCATAACCATCTTCTTTAGTCGTCGCTTTAAACACATCTTTGAGTACAACCTTATTTAAGGATTCATTTCGTTCGCCAACATCTTTCAAATTTTTTTTACTTTTAATGGCCATCAAGAGTATTCTGGTATCGCTGTTTTCGTAAAACTCAGCACAACCAAGCCATTTCATAAGAAAAAGAAAGATCTGGTGAAACGAATGCTGTGGCAATTCATTTTCACATTTCTTGCAATGAAAGTCCCCTAAAGTGATGATAAACTTTGGAAATCTTTCCTTTAACTATTTGCCTGTAAACGATTCTCAGAATAATTGGTTGCACAGTAATCACATTTAATATTTCCAAGTGGTATTTCCAAAATTGCACCATCTTTTGCCATACAAATCATCGTCATTCCCAGGGCAAGACCAGGAATAAACTTTCAATAGCTATGCAATATGTTTAATTCATTGGATCATCATAGCAAGTTAGAGTTATTGGTAGATACAACTCATTGTAGTTAAGTACTGAAAAAACTCCTTTCACAAAGCACTTCTTCATTTGATCATACATAACAATATATGATGTCAAATCATGGTTGCAAACGTATTGTGATTTGGCCGAAACGCTCTTTTCAGACTATGCCCAGGAACCCTCAGGATTATTATAGTATAAAATATACTACACTCATAATACAAAATTCGGGTTACTTGCATGTACTTTCTAAAACAACAATAAATACCAAAGTATATTTACAACATTATTTAATGATACCTGGTGCATGATTCCTTCAAATATGATGTAACTGTTTTCCTCTTAAATGGTTTTTTACATTTCTTTTTGCACACCCCACAAATATTTACTTTTGTAAGAAATTATAAGCAATCACTAATTAAAGAATCACCTTGTTATCCCGAATTCTCCTTAGCTAATATGTATATATTTAGGTTATGAACACACATATATAGCCCCTAGGAAATATGTGATGAAAACGACGTTGGAAACGATAGGAGTTTTCAGGGAAATCAGGAAGAAGAGTAACTAGTAAGTCGTCGAAAAATCTGCACAGTGAAAAAAAGCACGCACTATATAAACGTAAGTAAATTTTACATGTATCAAAAGTTTTATTAATAATGTAATCTGTCATAACCATAAATACTTGAAGAATATGTAACTCGAGCAATGAATAGTTTTGCGTGAGACATGCGTACAAAACTTTATTATACAAAATATACCAAATGAGATTGGTGAAGTATAACTAATAACAAATGAATGTATTGCCTTTAAACTGTAACTCACAAATTTTTAGAATCACCTCAAAAGTATTCCAGACTGTAGTGAAAGTATGGAGCATACAAATGAAGTAACAACAAATGATAACCAAGGCTCACAAGATAGTGCCATTTCACCATCAATGGCACCAGCTAATAATGTGTCCAATGGTGGTACCAAAGCTCAATATAATTGGGTGGACATAACGAAAGAGTTTCAAACATCAGTGCAAGGTTTGTTAGGAAAATCTGATTATTTCATCTATTATATAGTTAAGACTTATAAATGATTTGCAGACCTGGTGCTAGGAGAACTGCTTCATGACACACTGTTTGGCCTTTTTGAAGCTATGTCTGCTATTGAAATGATGGATCCAAAGATGGATGCAGGCATGCTATGTAACAGAGGTAACAAGAAAGCCAATTCATTTGATCAATCAATAGAAGTAAGTTAATTTAACAACACGGAATGCAGATTTATGTAATACATACATTGTTTTAGGATGGAAGTATATTGTTATGGGGCATAAGTAACTCAGACTTAATTGGAATAATTGATACAACTCTGGCATGCATGGTATCATGGCTGGAAGGACATTCATTGGCTCAAACGGTTTTTACTAATTTATACCTGCACAAACCATACCTCATTGAGGACTGTACTCTTAAGGCATTTTGTATTGCCATATATAAGCTACTGGATATCATAAAGGATTGTATTCAAAAGTAAGTCTAAATTAATGGATCAATTTTATATAAATGTATTTTTATTTGTGCAGAGCAATGGTTTATGAAGAAGAAGATTTTCAAGGCATGCAGTACGGATATTATTTGTATCCCGATGTCAGTGTACAGCATGTGGTTGGTATGCTGCATGAAGTCGAAGAAGAACTTGACAAGGAAGCCCGTGCGTTATACTCGAACGGTGCGCAATCCATGGAGGTACAGGCAGAAGAAATAGTGGCGATATATTCACGTATAAAATTTGTACGTGTGCTATATCAAACACTACTATTGTTTGTTCATAAACGCGACGAACATTTGTCAGTAACACCCGAAGTACAGAAGTTAATCAAGGCTAAATTAAAAATTGCATCGGATTTGATCTTTGTGATGATTAAAACGACTCACATGGGAACACAAGCATTGTGTAAGTGTAATAAATTCGATTCATATGTTATGTGAAAAAATTATATATTTTAGCTGAAAATTCTCCAATACTGGGTTTTGAACCACTTATAAATCAACGGTTGTTACCGCCTACGTTTCCACGCTACACGAAAATCAAACCCAGATACGACGCTCTAGTTTACTTCGAGAATATGATTGAACGTTTTAAAGTTCTCTCAAATATCAACATGGTGACCGCTCTTAATCAAGCCTTGGATTTTTTCATCGAATTCAGCAAAACATCGCCCTGTATTTTGTCACGATCTGCTCTGCAATTATTATACGTGGGCAGCTATAGTGTTATAGCAAATACAAATGTCAACGTCCTTAAGGATATATTGAAAGACGCCGCGAAGCAATTCATCTCGCCGCCAGCACTTACGACAAAATCAGTGTTATACAACCAACAAGCACGCCCGTACGTCGACACATTTTTCACGCATTGTATGCGTGCATTTGCTAGTTTCCTGCAACTGTGCGGGCACAATCGCGCGAGACAGCGTGACAAACTGGCGCACTTGTTAGAAGAGTTCACTAGCTTACAGGATGAAGCGGAACGTGCGGATGCATATCTTCATAATCTCACAAGTAATGCAACCCAGTCTCGACCACACCTTGCCTGCTTCGGCACGTGGATTCTATATCACACTTTACGGATTATGATTATGTATCTGCTCAGTGGATTTGAGTTGGAATTGTATAGCGTCCACGAATATTACTACATATATTGGTATTTGTATGAGTTCTTATATGGATGGCTGGTATCTGCGTTGACTAGAGCAGACAGTTTTCTGGCCGAGCAGGAATTGCTCACTGAACTACAAAAGAACAAAGGCTTGAGCAAGAAAAAGACTAAATTAAACAAAAAAAACGGTCACGACCATATTTAAAAGAGTCAGTTTATTATCAAGCGCTGCAGAATATGTGCGGCGGATATTACAAGGCTCTTATGGCATTCCGAATGGATGGGAAACTACAAATGCCAAATCCCGAATTTGACAACGAACGTGTACGATATGATCATCGGTTTGCCCCATTTCAAAATTTGTTAGCTCCGCCGCCTGTACACTATCCGGAATTTCTGGAATTAACATCGGCTGCTCGTTTCACCCCGCAACAACAGCCCATCGACAGCCTTGCGTTGTATACAACTGGATATAAACACTTTTACCAGGCGCGCCAGTTGCTCGAGAGCATTCAACCAGCTGATGCAGAAATAATCGAGCTTATACGGATTTCGAAAACTAATTTCGTCGTGCTGAAGTTATTAGGTGGTGGACACAAGAAAGAGTCTACAAGACCGCCGGAATTTGACTTTTCGACAAATCGACACTTTCCCATCATTAAACTATGTTGATCGAAATCGTTGGTGCAGACACTTCAGTACACTCATTTTCTACGGTGTGCTGACAATTGCGCTTGAGATTTAAGCATTGTGAAACTTTTTTCGCGACTCATTGTAACATGCCTCTCCTTGTCGCTCTTATCTCGTTTTGTTTTTGTTGGCGTTATCAGCGACATCTTTTCTTTTTCCACCACACGTGGCAAACCATGCGGCAATCGTGGAAGACATTTAAAAAATAGCGAGGTCCAATTCATTCACAGGTATCTCAAAGTGTTCTTGTGTGATTTCTTTCTCTCTTTGCTTTCTTGCAGACTCGACGGTGCGACCTGGCTGGATTAAGTGTGGCACCAGCAGCCGGATTAGATTCTGCAATGCAGAATTGATTGTGCTTGCATGTGCGTAGAGTTAGAGAATTAAATGTAATGTACCTCGGTCCATTGAGGAACGCCTTGTGGTGTGAATAAAAGTTGCAAATCAAATTAGCACCTGGTATCCAGATTACAATCATACAATCCTTTTGAATACCATTCCTTACTAGCTGTTCCCAAACGTAATTCGAAACATTTGGGATAGATTTTCTAATTCGTTAACTTGCAGTCGATCAGGAACTTCATTTGTTGCATCTAAAATTGTAGAAAATTAGGCGGTTGAGGAAATAGTATGTGAAATAAATAAGAGTAAAACAATAATTATATATGAAAAATCTAAAACAGAATTTATTTGCCAGGCAATAAAAAAATAAAACAAATAATAATTACATTTACTGTAAATTTGCCAATCTCCTTAAATATTGCACTTTGTCGTCGGCATTATGATAATTTTGTACTGCTGTGGAATCTGCAACGTACAGATTTTCGTTTTTTTTTTTTCATTTCAGCCGTCAATGAAATCCTTCGCAGCAGTTGTTAGTTCTGGGAGATCTTTCTAGTGCTGCTTGGTAATGATTCCATATTCTCACTGGAAACTGCGGATTCCTATCAGGGGCACCAACGTAGGTTGCGCGGAAATACAGAAGAACTTGACGATAAGATTCTTCATCAGGCATTGTCGCAGCCAGCTGATTACACACGTGCTGGACATCGTTTATGGGCACAAACGCCAGAGCAACAATAAATTTAAGCAGATTATGGATGTCCATATTGGTGTCATACTGCTGTTTTAGGCCAACATTTCCTATTTTTCGGACCAGGCTCTGGGTCCGATGAAAGTAACACCCTTTGATTTCTGCATTTGGAAATGCATCTGCAGCGCAATTCATGCATGCTTGATCAAAATCTACCAAAATTTTGACATGGGCGAGGTTTGCAAGCAATTCCTGTAAAATGTCAAACATCTTCCTATATGTTTTTGCATTCTTCTGCAGTAGCAACTATATGCATGGCGGATATGAATTGCTTACTTTAGCGTGCCACGTATTCAATTGATAAAATATTTTTGGCACTTTATTAAAAGTGCCATCGCCATATATTTCCTTTTGATTTAATTGCATTAACAATGCTCTATCCTTTTTCCTTTCCTTTCCTTTCTGGATCGTCCCCGCCGGTGTCGTGAAGAATTGGTGGGGCATATTTAGCTGGCCTGTCGAAAGCAGGTGTTCTTGGGTTTGGCAAATATCCTGCTTGCCTATGCCTACGCAAATTCCTTTGCAGGGACGATTGCTTGGGAAGATGAGCTAAAACGTCATTATGCACGGTTGCCATCACTGCCCCAACGACATTTCTTGGCGTTGCACCAATATCAGTCATCGCTTCTTTCATCCTAATTCGGACTTTCTGCGCTTCGATTTGTTGCGGACAGGAATCATGACAATGTGTAGTGGGTTCTTCAATAATTGCATTATTCGATGTCTTCATTTGTGCATGACATTTCGCTGATCGACTTTGCCTGCACCTCTAAACAATGATGTCGTTTTTCACTCTGAATTGAAGATATTCAAACCCAGCGTAAATTAGAATGGGCTTGTCCCTTTCACTCTTAGTAAATTCCATTTTCAAACGAATATAATTATTATTTATTGTTTTTTTTAATAAATATAAAAAAAAAATGTGAACAATTGGCCGTGTGCGCAATCGGCGATGTGAGCAAAAGTTTCGTGAGTAATTGTATCGGTGAGCAAAAGTCGCTGTTGGGAGTATTGCTGTGAGCAAACATGACCGGACATTTGCCCACAAGACGATCGCTCACACGAATACTGTACACAGAAAACTACCCACAGTCATAACTGCGCACACGGATAATTGCTTACAGGGTATTTTGCTCACAGGTAATACTCCCCACAGCGACTTTTGCTCACCGATTCAATTGCTCACGGGACTTTTGCTCACATTGACGATCGCGCACACGGGCAATTGCTCACAATTTAATTTAATTGTATTGCTTGTGAGCAAAATACCCTGTGAGCAATTGTCCGTGTGCGCAGTTATGACTGTGGGCAAATATAGCTAAAGAAGTCTCTCAGAAATTTCGAAAATATGCAGGAATGAAATGTCCGAACGAAGTTCGGCAGGGCAGCTAGTATTTATATATAAACTTATTCCATCAACGTCATGGATATGCCTGAATATAGTTACAATTTTCATCTAGTTCCGCCTATTGTATATTAAAATTATGACCATTTGCATAGTCTTTTTTCAGCGTCCCAAGCCCGGCTAGCTCAGTCGGTAGAGCATGAGACTCTTAATCTCAGGGTCGTGGGTTCGAGCCCCACGTTGGGCGATACTTTTATATCTTTCGTGGAATAATGTTGTTCAATTGAAACTGCTGCTTAAGTGTAATATGTCCAGTAAACATAAACAAACTGAAATAGTACAAAATCCCAGGGTGCAACATCCTCCATTTATTTGCGGATTCAGTACGCTTACCACCTATGTTCTGAGATATATTTCCATTTCCAGTTAATATGATATACTCATATATTTATTTATTTGGGTGTTAAAAGGAATAGAAACTTTAATTTTTTTTTTGAATTGTATCGAATCGATTCACAACACCGCGACAAAAGACGTATGCACTGGTACACCCCTCACATCGGTGAATAAATTTTAAAATATTCTATTTGACGTAGACAACCAAACATTCACATTAATTGTCTCGCTCATAAATTTTGAGTAAGAATTCTAAGAACTGTAAAAACTCAGAATTCAATTTAAATATTAGTAGCTAGCAAACAGAAGAGCTATAAGTTATGAAAACTCGAGTAATTACTGAGGCGTATGTGTGTGCGCATTTTCTCTCATTTGGCAGTTTTATGATGCTATCCAGCAATGATGCCAACATGAGGATTTTCTCTCAGTGTAGGGGAAAGAATTTTGAAAAGAGAACTTTATCGGGGAAAATAATTTTTGGATACTTTTTAGAGTTACAAACTTATTATATGTTACTTAATTGGTACATGGAGGTAAGTTATTTTATTACAAATGTTATGACAAATATAAATAGTTAATTAAACTTTTCATTTACCAAAGGAATTTTGGGTATTTTGATTCGAATTTAGGGGATTTTAAAATCCGCTAAGGTGGAAAAATTTTAAGCGGTTGGCATCACTTCCATTCAGTATAGGCGTTCAGTCGGTTCACTCTGTCACATTGCCCCTTCTTAAACCAACCAGCTGTTTATAATACAATTATTTTTATCAGTACATTCTTGAAACTAGTGACGATCACTAACGGCGACACTGGAGCTGTCTGAGACGCACAATAAATACGAGACTTAAAGGTGTGCATCACTAACACAACTTGTTGAACCAAACTAAGTGAATAAGTGATAAATATAACAATTAACCAAAGTCATTTGGTGCATGTATAATCTGATGTACTAAATTTCAACACAAATCAACAGATGTACGTTAAATATACTGAAACTAAATTAAGCGAATGGAAGACTTACAGTTGAAATTGCCACTACGACAAAAAATGATAAAAAGTTGTAACAATCTGCTAAATCCATAAATGGAAATAAGTGAAATCTGTTATTATTTTAAATTATCAAAATCTATAAAATGAAACAATATCAAAGGAAAATATGTAACATTTTCTACCCCAATGGGAGGGTCTTTCAGGTTTCAGGTGAAGGCTATTCTTGTTAAGAAGATGATGTAACTATCTGCTAAATCCAAAAATGGAAATAAGTGAATTCTGTGATTATTTCAAAATTTTCAAAATCTATAAAATGAAACAATAGTAAAGGAAAATTAAATCATTTCCTACCATGATGGGAGGGTCTTTTGAGGTTTCAGGTGAAGGCTATTCTTGTCAAGAAGATGATGTAACAATCACCTAAATCCACAAATGGAAATAAGTGAAATCTGTGATTATTTTAAATGATCAAAATCTATAAAATGAAACGATATTAAAGGAAAATATAGAACGTTTTCTACCTCGATGGGAGGGAAACGGTTATTTCAGGTCTTTTAGGTTTCAGGTAAAGGCTATTCTTGTCAAGAAGATGACTCTTTAACCTCTTAATCAGCTCCTTGACATTATAAATACTTGATTTGGCAGTTGTTTTAGCTGCCTCCTTATTACTGATGGCCTTGTTTATTGACCTGACTACTGGATGAACTAGCTTGCGAACTAACCTCCGGTCGCTAGATCCACCAGCGAGCGTCGCAGGTTTCACAACTCTAAAGGAGCTGCCAAGCTCCTGCTATTCGCCAGGAGGTCCTCTCGCACCGAGGTGCCACAATCAGAGACACTCCTCTCGCCGAGTTCAAGTGCTGTAGAACCTCCTGGATCATACGTCTCGACTATTTTTGACCGACTAGTGGCGAACAAATTTATCTCATTTCTTGAATATCAAGTGTGTCGCGTTGTCAGTCCGTGAGAGGCATCCCCGTGATAACCTATCCGCAGTTGACTTAGATTCAGGATCTCGATCTCTTTGACTACCTCCTCCAGAATCCTGGAACGATTGCGCCCCTGCTTCCTGCTGTGTACAGGCCACTGCCTCTGCTCGGCCGACCATTGATCCGCTCTCATCTCGTCGTTCGTTGTCGTAAAGCAATTAACCTCGCGGATTAGAACTTTCGATGTACTTGTGTAGTTGTGTAGGATTATCAATAAGATTCCTACTGAGCGATTCAATGGAACTGTTGCGTGCTGCCAAGCGGGATGAGGTTGCTGAACTTTTGGTGATGACCACTTGGTTGCACGGCAATAATATGTTTTTTATTATAACTCAATTTAGGATGATATTTATTAATTATATACCCGATAACAAAATGTAGAATGGGAATCAGGCAGAGCTTGTGTTTGATTTTATGTTGTGTACTAGCGTGAAGACGACCAGTCTTTCAGCCTCTGGTTTACGAACAGATTTTATTTACAATTTTGTTAACTTATATATATACCGAGACTAAACATAGATAAAGTTTCTTAGACTAAACACAGATAAAGGTTCTTAGACTAAGTAAAAATATAATTAAATACAAGATATTATAGATAGATACATTACATATTGATAACACTAATTTTGACTAGTGTGGTCAGTGATTAAAACATTATTACAGTGAAATACGCATTAGATGTTTAACAAGTGATATGACGCACAAATTATATTAAGTCTCAGGTTCTAAAATTAGTGAAGGTTACTTCGGGTCATAACAGAATACTGATTAAACTTTTAGTGTTTATTTAACGAAGTTAATTAATTGTTTAACTTTATCTGGTGTAATAGTCGCAGGGGCTGGATCTACAGGAGAATCGGCTGTCGATTTTTGTACCCATTGCACATTTATCAGCGTCTCCACCACTTTTGTGAGGTTACCTAACTGATTCTGCATCTTTTTTCATTAATCTTCTTTTCTACGTCTCAAATCTCTCGAACGAGATTGTGAGGGATTGTCCACAGCCCCCGCTGATTTCAATTCTCCCTATATCTCTGCGATTTGGCTCCCTGGCCGCAGTTCGATAATTGCACCGTCGGGAATTTTCAGCGGACGGGTTTTGGAGCTTACAACAACCAGGTTGGCATCGTATCGTCCGTCAGGAGTTGCTTCTCCCAGCGTGTGCCTGGTATTTTATTGGGTTTCTCAAAATGCATCATGGCCAGAAACGGTTCTTGGGTGATGTACGTCAGCAACAGGTCAAAATGCTGGGCAGTGTCACCCACGACGAGTTGCTGCACCTGCTCGCACACGTCATTAATATTTACTGCGGTCTCTACTTTACCCTTGGTCTCCACCGTCTTTTGCCCGAAACCTCACAAAGAGATCATGTGTGGCAGCACCTTCAGTCGTTTAGCCAACGCGACGCTCTCTGATCCTGCACACAGCACTCTCCTGATCGACGTAGGTCGTCACTGTGTGCTTTCCCCCAATGGAGGCTTCCTTGAGGTACATGCCTCACTCCTACCTGGTAGGGCAACGTGGAACTGTGCCTGGCTTCCGGGGTCGCCTGTTTAACTTCGGCGGTAACTGGAGGTGATGGCAATAGCGTGCGACGTGACCGTACCTTCGGCAATGGAAACATTACGGCTGATCGTCTTTGTCTCGAGCTGGTAGTCTAGACGCGGCGATGACGATGACGATGTACGCCATGTACGCCATGTACGCCATGTTGGCGTCGGCGTGCTAACATGTAAAAGTTGCTATTCCATCTCGTAACACACTCTTGGATTATCTTCAGCTTTGGTTGATTAAGTTTTTCTTGTAGATTAGCAAGTTCATCTTGAGCTACATTAGAGTGGTGAAAATGTGTTGCTATCTTTTTACAAAGATAATTTTAATTTTTTAATTTGTATTTTAATTATAAACTTGGTTGACAAATGTCTTAATGAATAGTCGACTTATCTGGACGAAGTACCAATAACAAATGGCGTTATTTTTTAGCGCACACTTTAAGTAGGTGGGGCGAAATGCTGACTTCTCAGTCCTCGTCTTGTGACATGCGTATAATATAATTCCTCCCCCGTTAACTAAAGTCGTCCACGTCTTTTTGAAGTTTGGCAACGACAATGTTATTGCGTCTAACATTTCCTAACATTTACATTTCTCTTAATTAGTTTAAACGTTAATACAATTATTAATGCAAAAATCAATACAGTAGTTCTAGTTAAAATGCGTGAACAACGGGGTTGATTTCTAGTTTGTCTTCATTAAGTATTCTGAAATCTCGAATTAGTTTCTTTGCATCTTTCAAATGCTTATTTTTTAAGGTAATTACATAATTACGTCTGATATCTAAATTGATTTTTGGTAGTTTTATTTTGTAGGTAATATTTGAGCTTACCCATGTACAAGTATTTTACATTTTGATGCAATCAGTGCATTTTTCTTAGTAATAAACTTATTAATTTATAAACTACATTCTTCCAAAACGTCGTAAAAGTGCACTGTTCTGGATTTTCTAGTAGGCACTTGTATTTGTTGAGTTTTTCAACACAGCACTTCAGTTTCAATTTCGTTGCACGATTCATCTGCCCACATTTCTTCTGTTGCTCCAATGGTACTGCGATGGTGGCATAAGTACTTTCGTGTTGTCGTTAGGGATCGGATAAATTTGTTGGTATAGATAAGTATGTTCTTTGACAATAGGGATACACAAAATGCAAACAATTGTTTCTTTGATTGCGATTGTTTTGAATTTTGAAAATTTGAGCAGTTTGAAAGGGTGAGTTTGCTCCAACTTCAGCAATTCGTTTGGTTTGCCTGTTAATGCAAGCTGATTTGTAATATTTAATAGATCAAATGTCGATATCAATTCTAAATTGAAGATATCTTTAAAAGCGAGTCTTATTGTTCATTTAATTGATTTTAAGGTTTCCAGAATTGGTAGGCTTAAATAAATCTCATATTGGAAAAGAGAGTGCAATTCATACTCGGTTGAACATTTTGAAGTGCTGCGAAACAATTATTAATGTTGCTTTCGATTATATCCAAAGTTTTAGCGTACTTGTCAGTCAGATGGTTAGCAAAAGATGTACATTTGTGGATACCTTTAATAATCGCATTTTTATTTTTGAAAAGTGCGAAAAGATTTTTATTAATTTCTTGTTGATCTTCATCATCTAAATTTCCGGTAATGAACTTCACATTTGCAAGTCCTTTTTTGTTTCTTCGGTGTAAATTAAATTTTGTTAACGTATTTTCAATCTGTTCGCAATTTGATTTCAGAATGTTCATGATTTGTAACGCATTACTGATGTTAGCTGATTTTAACTCGGCTATGTGTACATGGTTTAACAACTTATAATACTTAGATTCTATTTCTCTAAGAATAACATAAAAATGAAACTTATGGTATCTATCCAATATTTTGATTTCCATCTGGTTGACCGCCTCCCCTGTTTTGCTCGGAGGTGTAGTGTCTTCTCGGGGCCGTTTGCTGCTTACCTCCGGTAGTGACAGCGCCTTTCCAAGAGGTGGTGTCCGCGGAGACTCCTCTCCGTCCGACCACAGTCTTGTCCTTGTTATGCCACCCACTAAGGTGATATTTGGCGAGCCGTTGGTCAGCTCGTCATCCTGCCAGTAGCTAGATCCTCCTGATCCTGCGGTCGACGGGGTGCCCGGTGTTCTTGGTGGCGTCCTCTGAAGCCCTGCTCTCTTGAATGCCTTTTGCTCGCTGAGCTCGCTGAGCTGGATATGTGGCCTGATAACCTTGCCTTCCGTTCCAGTAATTCTTACTTGACTCCCAGCCTGGTTCATCGCTGGGGTCTTGCAATCATGGGATGACGATCCAGTGGGGCCTGCAACAACCCCCTTCAGGACCGGCACTGAGGTATCCCTCCCCTGTGCGGTAAACTTTTTCTTTGTCGGTTCCATGTCCATCCAGAATAAGTACGTTTTTAAGCTGCCGCCAGCTCGCGCCCTTGATCCTTTAAGTCCTGGCTCGACTGTGTTTGGGCACGTTAGCTTCCCCCACTCGCTGGCTTGCAGGGGTACTGAGCCCCGGACTACGCCAAGGTGTACCCATCCCGGGTCAGCAATGTTGCTTTAGCAAGCGCTTCCTTTCGCAAAACCCGGAACGCTGCACATGCCCTCATTCCAAGTGATGGGTTTATTTCCTTAATATTGCCGTGAAGTAGCTCATTTAGTGGAGCCTGAAGAGAAGCAGCTCGAGGATAAACCTCCTGTAAAGTTGATCATCCCGAGAAACGCCGAAGTTGTTTAGCGGTCTCAGGTTGCGTAAAATCCATAATCGCTTCTACCTTTGTTGGGAGCGGGCTGGTGCCTTGACTGGACACCAGATATCCAAGGAATTTTACGCTATCCTGGCCAAACACACACTTCGCAGCATTAATTACCACGCCGTAGTCGCTCAGACGCTGGAACAGCTGATGGAGATGAGTTGCATGTTCCTCCTCACTGGACGATGCTACCAAAATGTCATCTATATATGCGAATGCAAAATCCAACCCTTGGAGAACCTCGTCGATGAAACGTTGAAACGTCTGCGAGGCATTACGCAGTCCGAACGTCATGACGGTGAACTCGAAGAGTCCAAACGGGGTGATTATTGCAGTTTTCGGGATGTCCTCGGGAGCCAGCGGAATTTGGTGAAAAGCGCGCACGAGGTCTATCGTCGAAAAGATAGTCTTCCCGTGCAACGCATGAGCAAAATCTTGAATGTGACGTACCGGATACCGATCCGGCAAGGTCCTAGCATTCAATGCTCTGTAATCTCCGCATGGTCTCCATTCTCCCGTTTGCTTCGGCACTAAATGAATCGGTGATGCCCAAGGACTCTGGGACGGTCGGGCCATCCCAAGTTGGATCAAGGCAATGATTTCCTTCTTGGCGGCGGCAAGACGATCGGGCGCTAATCTGCGCGGATGTTGCGCAACCGGTGGACCTGGTGACGTAGCGATGTAATGGACGGTATTGTGCTTCGGTGGACGACCTGCACTTTGCGGTTTAGTGATGTCCGGGTATGCACTTAATACCTCACCGAACACAGACGCACCCTGAATGGCTTTAATCGACGGGGTGCTACAGACTGCCAACTCGCCATGCGATGTGGTCAGTCCCGAAGCTACCTCCCTCAATTCACCGTTTTTTATGTCCACGATTAAGCCGAAATGATGCAGAAAATCCGCACCGATTATGGGGCGATCGACATCTGCAATTATAAACGCCCAAAGAAACTCGCGACCTAAGCCAAAGTCTATTTTAATGTTCATGTGTCCATAAGTAGCTATAGGTGTACCGTTGGCAGCGGCCAACGAATACTCGCACGCACTATTGTGTCCACGCACTCTGTTTCGCGGATACACGCTCACATCCGCACCAGTGTCAATTAAATATACGTCGCACTCAGTGTTTTTATCCTTTAGAAATAATTGGCGCGTGGTTGCTTTGGAGGCGCGACAGTCTTTCGCGGCCACTATTGACTGCCCGCCACACCGTTTCCCGAACCAAAATGACACGGTGGCTCACATCTCTTCGCATCCGGCCCAAATCGCGCATGAAGCCAACAAATATATTGTTGCGGCTTGCCTCGCGACTTGCTGCGGTAACGCTGGCGATTGCGATGTTGATCACGACGATGCTGCACTTCTTGAACTTCCATGGCGCTCCTCTCCTCCATGCGCAACGAAAGTTCCTTCACTCTTTCGTCCATGTGCAGTGTAAGTTCTTTTACCTTCTCAGCCAAAGAGTTAACCACTTCAGCCAACGATGACTCCTTGGCTTGAAGCTGGACTGGGCTGCGCTGCGCACATGATAACTTCGTGGCTGCGTGTATGCCATCCGCCATCGATGCTAAGTAAGCGAGATCGTCGCTCTGCGCGCCAGATACAACTAGGCGTGTTGCTTCCGGCAAATTACGCATCCACTGCGTTTTGATGATCGCATCTCCGGCGAGTGGACCACCTTTCCGCTGTAGGTCTCGCAGAAACTGGGAAGGTGTACGATCGCCTATAAATTCACCTTCCAGCAAGGCCTGAATTTTCTCCTCGTTGGAGGTGCCCAGGCGCTTAATTAATGCCTCCTTCACTTCATCGTACGTGCTGTCTGGTCTTGCTATTATGTCCATCACCGCTTGACGGTCTGTTGGCGTCAAAATTGTAACACTATGGACAATTTTTCATCATCTTCCGTCACTTGAGTGAGCCGAAAGGTGCGCTCAGCAAGTGTGAACCAAACACTAATTTCTTCATTGTCCGAACGCGGAATTAAACGTACAACGCGGGCACTCGCGATTTGAATCGGCGCGGATGTACTTTGAGCCATTTCGATTTTCTAATTTTTACTCGGTACACTTATTCTCACCGCTCACACACTTAAAATTTGATAACGTGTTCTTCAATTTAATATCACGTCGGGGTCACCAATTTGTGGGATCGGTGAGTGTGGGTTATAATTGATGCAAAGACACTTGGTTTGAATATCACGATGTAAGTTTATTATACGTATTGCTATTTCAAAGATGTTCATGATTTGTAACGCATTACTGATGTTAGCTGATTTAACTCGGCTATGTGTACATGGTTTAACAACTTATAATACTTAGATTCTATTTCTCTAAGAATAACATAAAGTAAAACTTATGAGTATCTATCCAATATTTTGGCTTTTCCATGATCTTCCAATAGTCAGGATTTCCATCCTGGTTGACCGCCTCCCTGTTTTGCTCGGAGGTGTAGTGTCTTCTCGGGGCCGTTTGCTGCCTCCGGTAGTAATGGCGCCTTTCAGGGTGGTGTCGCGGAACTCCTCTCCCGTCCGACCACAGTCTTGTCCTTGTTATGCCACCCACTAAGGTGATATTTGGCGAGCCGTTGGTCAGCTCGTCATCCCTGCCAGTAGCTAGATCCTCCTGATCCTGCGGTCGACGGGGTGCCGGTGTTCTTGGTGGCGTCCTCTGAGCCCTGCTCTCTTGAATGCCTTTTGCTCACTGAGCTCGCTGGAAGCTGGATATGTGGCCTGATAACCTTGCCTTCCGTTCAGTAATTCTTACTTGACTCCCAGCCTGGTTCATCGCTGGGGTCTTGCAGTCATGGGATGACGATCCAGCGGGGCCTGCAACAACCCCCTTCAGGACCGGCACTGAGGTATCCCTCCCCTGTGCGGTAAACTTTTTCTTTGTCGGTTCCATGTCCATCCAGAATAAGTACGTTTTTAAGCTGCCGCCAGCTCGCGCCCTTGATCCTTTAAGTCCTGGCTCGACTGTGTTTGGGCACGTTAGCTTCCCCCACTCGCTGGCTTGCAAGGGGGTACTGAGCCCCGGGACTACGCCAAGGTGTACCCATCCCGGGGTATTTACTGATTCGCGTAATATTATAGTTTGTCGAAAACAGGATCGGCTTTTCATATTTTCTGTCGTCTAATATACTCCTCTGGTTCAATCTAACTGTTTGTGATATAATAACTCATAGGAAGGTAATATTTCGTCTTTTCTCCTGCTGTTGTATTCTTTATACAAAGTTTTGTTTAATTCAAGTTGATGAGCATTAAGATTTTCATAAGGACCATATAAAAGTGAAAATGGTGTAAAACCTGTTGATGAGTGAATTGTTTGGTTGTACATTGTTATTATTTAAATCATAAAATCTTGTGAAGTGTCATCTTTGTTTTTGAGATTTGCAATTATTATTTTTTCAAGAATTGTGGATTGAAAACGCTCTATCAGTGAATTCAAACTGGAATTGTAATTTGTGTATGATCTAGGTACCACCCTTGGTGTCGGTCATTCTTTGATACTCGCACATGCTAATTATATTCACCGTTCGTGTGGACCAAATTTATATGTACGATTTCGTTATTAACTCACGGATTATTAAATATAATTTATTTGTTTGTTCGAATTGCGATCGCAGATTAGAATTGATTTAGACTTCGATTAACTTGTGTTGGTTTTTAGGATTTTGTTAAGTAGGTTCTTGATGATCGATTCAGAAGAACTAATTAACTTTTACTTGTTTATTTGATGAACTTGGATAATACAATAATAGCTTAGGTCTAGGTTTGTGCTCTATTTATATGGCTTGAATCTGCGTTGCAAATAAATATGAAATTAGATGACTTTAAGACAATGATTTCTAGAGAAATTAGTAATTACGTTTTAAACAAATAGGTATTGCGCTGGAAATAAATATTGAGATTGCGTCTTAAATAATGTTTCTTGTCTGGTCATCGGCTTCTGTTTATATAAATTGCTTTCTCAATTTCTTTAACATCTTTGACCTTGTCCTTAAGTCATCATAAAACCATTCCTCTGATAACATTGTATCTACCATTTGCTTGCGCCCGCGTGACTTATGTAATCAGTCAGAGCATCATCGTCAACACCTTCGGGTTGGTCTACTAATAAGGACACTGCTGCACCTATGGCACATAAGGCCGTACCTACACAATTTTGAGTTTCGGCAAAATGTTCGTCTACTTAGCTATGTCGCTAAGGTGAGGGACTATTTTATTATTATTGCCGCTTCAGTATAAAACTCGCCTTTGCTTTTATATGATCCCAGGATCTCTTTTTTATTTTTCTCTGGGAGACCGTCGATTTTTCATTTTTCCCATGTCTCATTTACCTGAGGATGATACTTGACTTTCAATACGTTATCTCTGACCAGTTCTGGTTGGTCTGGAGGTTTCTTCTGTCATCACCGTTTCAGTTGTGACCCTCTCAGGGTCATGATCGATTTCCTAGTCTTTCTCAGCCTCTGAGAATGAATAAACAAATTTCTAGTAAAAAAGACACTTATTGTGTTCTAGTGATATTTATGTTCTTAATGAACTTTATCACCAATTTTGTTACAGTCGTATGGACCTGGTGCTGCAGACACCTCTCAACATTCGGAAGGTGGACGACGGGGCTGGATTTACATAAGAATCGACTGACGATATTTGTACCTGTTGCACATTTATTTGCGTTTCCACCACTTTTGTAAGGTTATCTAACTCATTTTGCATCTTTTCTCATTTATCTTCTTTCCAACGTCTCGAATCTCTCGAATGAGATCGGGAATGAGATCTAGATCGTCTTTTACCGATGTCGAGAATTTACTTGTATAAATTTTTGTAATAATTATTCTATTTCAACAGTTCCGTATAGAAAACGTATAGAAAACATCATATCGAGGCAAGATGGCGGAAAGCGCCAAAATATTTTGAATTTAAGCGTTAAACGTTGTGGGTTAAGGTATTGCAAGCATGACTACATTGTACTATCATTAAGAACGAGACACATAAAATAATGAAATGCGTATTTAACGCGTTCACGCCGACGACATGTGTATGCTCTATCGGGCGTTGTGTACCACTGGTGGTACACACAATGCGATTTATTTTTTGGTACGCCGCCACTGGAGACAGAGGTGTGCACCAGGTAACTGATTTGTTGTGATTGGGTATAAGATTATAGTATAAATATGAATATATTATGCATGTATTTTTGTGACTTTCGACCAAAAACTATATGGAAAATTATGTTAGAAGAGAAAAATGTTAGTAAACCTACAGTAAAATGAAATTAGGTTGTTTCAGACGTTGTTCCATTGGTCACCCTAATCAGAAAAATTGGCTAAACGCATAAAACCAATGTTTTTATTATTAGTCAATAAATAAGTAAAAACTTCAGCATCAAAAACATATATTACAAAATATACAATATGCATACAATATTCATTTATGCAGTAATTTGAAGCAAGAAGGGCACAAAGGGGTTTATCGTTGGAGCCTGAACCAAATGTTATAACTTGCTTCGATTTTTCAAATGCAAACTTTCTTCCCTCGCATTTAATTGTTTATAGCATTCACGGCTAAGCTTCCTTGCTGTTCTTGCAATGTCCGAGTATTTTTCTAAATAATGCTTTTTTTCCCTTTGACAGCTCCAATTGATCAGGTGAACTAAGGAGTCCATCTATTACGATCTCTCTAAATTTGAGTAAATATAGTTTTTTTTGTTTCCCATTTTTTGTGGATGTACCACGCATTTGTAATGACTGTGCCACAACTTATTTCAATTACAATCTTTTTATACCACTTTATTATTTTTCGGAGTTCACTATAACAGGATGTAAGTTGATCTGATAAATTCACTCCTTTTTTTTGCTTGATTATTATCTATAATTGCGTCAGGTTTTAGTTTTCCTTTTGGATCTTTGCGTAATTTGCAGGAAGGATTTTACATGTAGTGAGCATATATTTGTTTCGTAATGTCTGCACGTTCTGTATGATTGTTGGTTTGCAAAAGTATGTTCCATTCAGTAGTAGTAATAAATATCTGGCTTGTGGAAGGATTACTCGGAAGGTACAAGACAGTACAAATTGGGATAGGATACCGTTTGTAAAGATCAAATGATGTTTCGCAAAACATTGGTACTTTCAGAATGAACACTATTCTAGTGTCAACAATGTAGGTATGATTTAAGCGTTATTAATTTTGAATAATTGATTACGTTTTCGTATGTAACCTCAAATGGTAACTGTTTAGGATTGCTTCTCGATTTCAAATTTTGTAACCAATTATATAATTCGTTGGTTGATATTATACTCGGGTGCACGAGTCTTAATATTGAAAATGTTAGAACAGTGACCAAATTGCGTAGCATGTGCTCAATTGCTTTGGTACATCAAATGTAATTGATTTAGCATATCTGTGACGTCATGAATTTCTGATTTTTCAATTTGGTTTTTCAAATGCATTTCAGCTCGCGGTAAATGTAATTCTAGTGAGACTTCAATGATTTCTGTCCATAGAGTATATTGGTCCCGAATTTGATTGCTAATCAATTTTGGACTTGTTTCCAAACTTTTAATAATTTCCTTTTCCTTTTTTTACCATCCTCACTGATTGTCTGATATAGTTTTAATTATTGAGCCTAGGGCATTAATTAGGTCTTTTTTGGGTCGTTTATTGGGATTTATTTCCCAGATTTCCGCGAAAATATTCTATATATTTGTAATAATTTTCACGTAATTTCCCAAACTTGATTCATAGTGTGGGTGACTATTAATGGTCTCCAATATTTGATAAACTCTGTTATTTAATTCCCCAAAATAGTTAATAATCAATGATACATTATAGTAATGTATGATTGTGTGATGAT